TTCTTTTGAAAAGCAACAGCGTAAAAAAGACAAGACTTCTCTTGGGATCAGAGCTCAGGCATTCCTCCTGGTCCCGTAAAACAGCTGAAGGTTTTGCCACTGACTTTCTAGGGGAAAAGAATCAGGTTTCTCTCACTGAGGTTACTGATAGGGGCCCATTTTCACCACAGGGGCTGTCCCAGCCCTGCACTCAGACCCTGTGGCTGCAGGGGCTGTGGGCAGCTCTGCCCAGCTGCTGTGAGGACATCCTAGAGCAGATGGGTGCCCTCTTGGACTGAACAAACTGGTTGTCTTGCCCTCCAGCTCTGGTAGTGCCTGCAGAGGAAGGAGTTGGAGCCGCCATAGCCTTATGTGCTCAGGAGAAAAGAGTTTTCCAAATTCCTACTACTAAAGAGATCTATTGCCTGTCCCTTTTCAGCATTTTTGAAGCCCTAACAGCTTAATGTTCTCATGATTTACATTAGCATCTAATCCTTGCATAATCTCACTAATCCCTTGGCCCCAAGATATCCATTGGCAGTGAGTTCCACGGGTTAACTGGTTGCTGTATTCATTTGGTGGAGCAAATTTAAATCATTTTTCATTTCTGTTGCAATTAGCCTCCTTAACCTGGCCAAGGATGCGAATGGGGCAACATCTCCCAAGGACTGGACTTTGGTATTTAAGGCCTTCCAAAATTATTCTTGTGGCTGAGAGGCTCCAATGCATCCTATTTTGTGTTGGGCTTGGATCCCTGGAGAAAGTACAATGATCTCAATGGGAGACATGCTGAAATATTTTATTCTGCCAGAAAGAAAACAAAAATAAACACTGAAACAGCGATACAAAAAAAAATTTTGTGGGGGTTGTGCTGAGTTGCCTCCTTCCCTCCATCACCCTGTGTGTCCTGGGCATATGGTTCCTCCCCAGCCCAGAGCCCTGTCATATCCATACACAGTAGGGAGAATTAAAGAGGAAACTGGCAGCCTTAACGTTTAATTTCCTTCCTCTTTCTGGGCTGGTCAGATCCTTTGCATTATTGTAACTATTTTTTTTATCATGCCTATAAATAGATGTGCTCTCATGTGTCCTATGAAGCAGAGTCAGGCCAAAAAAGTCATTCATTCTGCATAATCAATACATGTAGTGATTACTGGCTCAGATGAGAACTTGTACTGTTAGTTCTGTAGCTGGAAAAAAAATGTTGACTAATAAAGATTAAGGGCTTTTTTTTTTTCCTTTTTATGAAATGCTAATGATGAAGACATGTTTGATATACTGTGAAATACATTTCTCTAATGTGAAGTTTCTGCTTTTTGTTGGGAAAGAGATTTAGTCCCTGGAGGATTTTAGAATTTGTAAATATAAAATTATCTGCTTCAGTGTTTTTTAAAAAAAGGTTGGCAGAAAGCCAGCTTACTTACATTACTGTAATAGATTTGCTGACCTCTGACATCTGCTGCAGAGAAGTACATTGAATTTTTCATAATATCAGATGATGCAGATCTAAAAACTCGGTACACTGCACTATTATTTAATTCAGGACTTACTAAAGGAAAATCTTTTTTTAATAGCAGTTTATACGTGATTAAACTTAATATTGCCGATTGTAATAAATCAGGATTAGTATAGTACTGATTTGTTAATCTAACTTGTATTGATTTTAAGTTGTCTTTATTTAAAAAAAAAAGAAAAGAAAAAAAAAGGAAAAAGACTGGCTTTTCACAGTGACTGAATTTAATAAGAAGCCCTGTGATAGCAAAGACTCCCCTACTGTTTCTGCTCTTGGCTGGAAAATGTTATTCTTGTATTATTCCAGGAAAAAAAAAAACCTCATGCTGCTAAAAATCTGCTGCCTGTGGAAAGATTTTTTTAATACACTAGTGCTTACATATTCTATTTATGTTAATTGACTTATAAATAATACATTTTATTAATGTTAATATTAGAATCTTGATCATGATAAAGACCCTTTTATTTGGTCTTCTCGCAGGCTTTACAAGTAAATATTCTTTAGACCACAAAATATTCCCCCTCTTTTCCTTTTTTATGAATACTTTTATACTTCCTCCCCCGTCGGGAAGTACAGCCACAGTTCAAAGCGACTGAAAACATAATTGTTGTTTCCAACACGCGATACATTTGAGGTATCTGGATCCAGTTTTTTGGACGTTGTCTTTACCTCTCCTTGCGCAAAGATTGATTAAATCTTACCTGCACTGCAAATATTTGACCAAGAAAAAATATCTTGTGCTGGTTTCAGACATGTCACATTCTGCTAAACTATTTGGCTAACAGCAGATCGCATTCTTCCGGTGTTGGGCAATATTGACCTTAAATTGGCTAAGCCGGCTGCTTTCATGGCATGTGAGCCGGCTGCTTACATGTTGAGAGAGCTGTATTAGCTTTATTACTCCTGCACTATAAAAACTTCTAATAATCAAATGATAAGATCATATCCTGTGGGTAATTGTGTTGTACCATGACAGAATAACTGAAAAAACATTCAGTGAAAATTGCAACCGACGGAAATCTCTACGTGAAGAGGCAATTGCTGCTGTTGCTGGGCTCGGTGCTGCTCCCTGGGGTCTCGCAGCCCGCGTTCCTGCCCGGCTCCTCGCCAGCCGCCCCCCAGAGCCACCTCGGCCGGCACTCCTTTGAAACGAGGAGGGGAAAATGCTAGAACAAGCCATCCTTGTATTTTGACTCAGTTTTACCTTAGTCATGCCGCCTCCCCGATACACGAAACATTTAATTCCAGATTTCCTGCCACTGGCTCCAGGCCACTGACCGGCTATGTGAAATGTATTTCTACTGCTGTCGGCCTGCCAACTGCTGAGCTCAGTGAAAAATAACTAAAATGAAAACCTTGTACTCCCACATGAACCCTTAAGATCAGAAAAGGAAATTTAAGCCACAGTTACTAATTAGCACCCAGGCTAATGAGTTCTGGTGAGGTGCAGCAGGAGGAGGAGGAGTTTGGGTCCCGTGTTACCCTACAAGGAGAGCACGCGAGCAGTGATTAATCATGTTGGCCCAGGCCTTGCTCCTGGCCCGGCCATAGTCACTGGGTTAATCCCTCGGCATCTTCCAGGGAAAGGCTCATTCCTGAGGCTGGGAGCATCCCTGTCCCCTATGAGGCACCGGACAGCGGCTGAAACCTTTATGGATGGAATATGTAGATTTTTAATGGGCGATGCGTTCCCATGGAAACAAAACAAAGTCAAACACTCCCCTCGCAGTGCTAACAATTACTGTAATAAAATGTGTTTTTATTAAAAGCGACTTTAAATACTTAACACATGGCAGAGCAGCCTCGGCACTGCCCTGTGTGAAACCCAACCTTGCCTGTAAGTGAAGTCCAAAGTGCTTTGTGCAGCATGGGGAGGAATTCGGTGTTTTCACCAATATTTGTGCTTTGCAAATGAAATGTAGCAGCCTCAAGTATGAACAGGATTATTTTTTTCTTCTTCTGCTTAGTTATGCTTTTTTTATATAAACATTACCTGTAATATTACAGTGGGAAGCAGGTATTTGGCAACTACGTATTATTTTGCTAAGTTTGCATAGAGGGAGCAGTTTCCAGTTTTAGCAGCTGTAACATGTTTAAACTCAGTTTGTAATGGGATCTGAAGATGAATATTCCCTGTGGGCTCTGCTTAGCTTCATTACTGGAGCCCTGCCAAATTCAGGGCTAGAAAGTATTATTCACGCCTCTTTGCACATACCATGTCAGAGCATGCTCAGTTAATGAATTTTGTTTCTAATATAGCATAAATTAGGTTTATATTTTAACATAATTTATGTTGTATTTTATTAAAATGTAAAATATTATGATCACGAGCAATCTAATTCTGCTCTCTTAAGCCCAAACTGTGTTTGAACATCTAAGTATGTAAATCAAAATTGCATGCTTAGAAACTGATTCTAGGATAACAAACGAATATCTGAACCAAAGAGGTTTCTGCCTTGGAGTCTTAGATTAAAGATAATTAAGGATTCCTGGTATTTCAGTAGATCTGTGTTGTTTATAAGCAAAGTACATTTTCTTAACAGAGTCAACTTGTCTTTTTTTTTTTAACAGATTATGTTTGCTGTATTAATGTTCATATTTTTAAAGTCTGAGTCTTATATTAATCCCACAGTGAGTCATTAATCATACTAAAATGCATTATAAAAACTTTAATCACTGAAGTTGAAACTGAGATTGTAATGCAATCCATCCCTTTTAATTATATCAGTTATTTTTCCTTTCAGATCAAGAATTGCAAAGGGAAAACAGAGAGATTAAAACTCAGTGTGTTTGATGCTTTCAGGGGAGGATATTTTTTGTTTGTGTTTCTTCCTTGTGTTTTTAAAGCAATTTCGTGCACTTTGTGGCAGACAGCTCCACAGTGTAGAATTCCTTCATATTTAACTCTTCTCTTCTCCCCTTCTTCCTAAAGAAAGGCTCTGGTGACTGTCACTGCATGGGTGCCTTGCATGGACGAGGCTGGGCGGGTGCTGTGCCCACCTCGTAGGGCTGCTGCAGCCCAGCTCTCCTGGCCCCTGCCACGTTCCTGGCACCCGCCCTTGCAGTCAGGGGAACCAGCAGCCTGGAAATTGTGTAGCTGTTACCAAGTTGGCTGTGGCTTTGTAGGTGTTTTCCTGGGGCTTGCTGCATGCTGTTAAAGTCGGGGAGGGAAAATAAAAATAAACTGTGGAAATTTTTTTTTTAATCAGTCTAAAACATAATGGCTGATATTCTCATCTGGTACAAATTGGTGTAGCCATACAAGCCACTGTGAAGTTGCTGACAACTAATCCACACCACCTCTTTAACTCCACTGAATTTATTCCACGTTATAATCTTGCCAAATAAATTGATTTCTTATACTTGGATTTATAGATGTAGAGTTTAAACTGTTACTTTTATGGCACGGAAGAAAATGGATTTATTAAGTAAACTGCTCACAGTAGATACATTTTTTCTTTGCTAGAACAGCAAAACCTGATCAATTATTTGTTCCTTAATCCCCTAGATTAATCCTGCCATATGAAAGATTTATTAAAGGAGAGGAAGATAAGCCACTGCCTCCAGTGAAACCTCGAAAACAGGATAACGGTTCCCAGGAGAGTGAAGCAAAAACAAAAGTGTCTGCAACAAAACGCATCAAAAATGAAAACCAAAAGAGCAAGAAGGAAAAAGATAATTCACAGAAACCCCAAGATGCATCTGAGGTCTGTTGCTTCCCTGCTTTTCAGTTTTTCAATTAAAAATGCACAGCTTTAATCACATGAAATCCAGTGATAAAATATATAATTTAAACAGGAGAACTCCAACCAGTTGGCCTTTTAGTTTGCTCAGCAATGGAAATTCAGCTGTTGTGATGCTATCTGTGCTGGGATTTGCTGGGCTGCGAATGGCAGCCAATTTGTTCCATATTGCACAGTGGGGATGGCAGAGGACCAAGCTCTGGATCTGACTAGTACCAGTTCTGCTCATTGTATTATACAGTGGTCACCATTAACAGATCAGCAGCTGCCAAAGGGAAACCACACAACTGCCACAGTTATTTCCTAATCTAAGTATAGGGTGCAGGAACCTCTAATATTGTTGATAATACTGTGGTAACTGTTGGACACAGCTGATTTTTATAATGGTAACCTCTAGATCAGCCCTTCTGTGCTCACAGATGTATGCATGACTGTGAGAAAACATACTGCTCCCTAGGATTTTTATTATATTATACTAAGTTTCTTTTTGAACTGAAAGGTCACATTTTGAGGGAACCACCTTCCAAGCCCTGAGATCGACTTCCCTCTCCCGAGCAGTAGATGGCTTTCAGCTGAGGTTCCTGTTCAGACATAATAGGTTCCTGTGATGTCCCTCTGCTTCACATGGGCAGGCCCCAGTTTCCACATACAGCCACGTTACTTGCAGGCATAGAACAGCCCTGTAGAAGAGAGTTTGTGTTCACAGCACAGGGTAAGATTGATGGTAGGACTCGTATTTGTCTACAAATAAGAGTAAATTTCAAGTGTTGTTAAGTGATGCAAAATCAATGGGGTTTTTGCTCCAGTGTTATTTGAGCACCTTCCTTTGCACATCTGCCCACTCTCCTGTGCCCCACTTGCACCGCATGTGAAGGAGGTGGTGAAGCTCCTCACACACAACCCCTGCAAAACATGTTGCTTTTCCTGACTCAGTCTGCCAGGTCACAGCAGCCTTCAAGGCGTTGCAGTGAAAGTAAGTATTTAAAGAATGTCGAAACACATGACGTGCTCGGCAGACTATGGCTGCTCCTTTGACTTCACTGCGTCTGGCAGGTACAGGAGTCCTGGTTCTAAACTTGTTTGGAAATTGTATTGAGTCAGCTATCAACAATCCTCCTCTTCATTGTTTTAAAATAACAATGCAGGTCCTGTAAATGCAGATGCCTCTGAGATTCCATGTACCCAGTTTTGAGAACAGACAATTTGGGGTTTCATGTCCCACTACCTCGTTAAGTTTACAAGGACAATTTAATCTCTCATCCAAAGAAGAATTTGTGTTTTAAATAACAGTACCATTAATATGTAATTTAAGAGCAATCCCCAGAAAGACTTTTTCTTTTTTCTTACATTGTAATTTTAAAGTAGGGAGAGCCCTGTTTGGGTAAAATTTAAAAAAAGAAGTACATCAAGAGAAGAGTGTGCACAAGCGTGCTTCAGTCACTGGAAGTTTGCAAGACAAGTTGCCCAAAGCAAGAAGTGAAGTGAAAGCTTCTGCTCCCTTCCCTTGTCATTCCTTCATCCCTGACTATTTACTGAGGGTCTTGGATCAGGAAGACACATTACACACTATCAGTACCACTGCTGCTATGCCCAGCATAACAAGTCAGCAACAGAGCAACAACCTTCACTTTGAATTTCCTTGCTTTTGTTGTTCCCTATCTCAAACTTCCTGCTGTTTAAACTGAAGTTATTTTTGTATGGATTGCAGGAAGAGTTCCTAAGCTGCACTTATCGGAAATGTAGGGAGCTTAGACGAGACAATAAAAATCTACAATTATGGCAGTTCCCTATTGTAAAATGGTACCTTTTATAGCAGAATTAATGTCTTCTCCCTGACTGGGGTGGAAGACATGTCCTGCCCCTATTTGATCAAGGCAGGCTATTAAGTATCTTGACCTCCTTGTTAGTCACCATACAGGTCAGTGATCACACAAAGCCCGAGCAGTGAAGGGGCTGCAGGGTGGATGTTTCACCCCTGGGTGGGTGTAGGGCTCCAGAACTCATCTGTGCTTTGCCATATGGAGGGCTCCATGCCCAGGATGTGGCACTTAACAGGGGTAGCAGGCTGGAGACATTCAGCTCCTTTGGGTGGAGCAAAATCCAGGTGTGCTGGGGCCAGGCAGAAGGTTGCTTGTCTCTTGCACTGCAGCCATGCCTTGGCAGTGGAGCCCCATTCCTGGGCCCTCATCCAGGCACAGCAGTGATGGGGTATTGCTCTGAGGGAGAGCCCTATAGCCACCACATAAATGTGTAGGCACGTCCCCACTTAAGCCATTTCTGCATGTGGCCTGGAAACTGTGAGCTGGAAAAGCATAATCCAGTTACAGATGTGTGGTGGTCTCAATTGCATGTTCAACTCATGCACCATTAGAAGTATGCAGGGAGAGAATATAACTTTAATTTATTAGGATTGCATTTGCCTTTGTGCTCTTCACTGTTTTCCTGCCATCACAATGACATTGTCAGTGTAACAAGACACCAGACAAAATGCTATTAGCCTTAGACTGCACATTTCCTCACAATAGCTGAAACTTCAATCAAAGTATTGCTTAACAGAAACAAAGAGCAGAATGTACAGTTATTAAGTATGATTCTCTTTTTTTTTTTCTCCTCCTTGCTTTGCTCATCTGTCTGGTATTTGCCTGTAATTTTATAAGCTCAAGAGACTAGTGATGGTACTTTGTAAAGGACCTAATGATGGTATTTGGCTGCAAAAGTCAGCTCTGAGTTTAAAAAGAAGTTAGGATGACTAACAGACACTGTAACTAATAGGCCAACCAAACAGACAGGAATATTTAAAAGCAGCTGTGAAGAAATAAATCTCTGAGAGGGTTAGATTCGTTAGGACCGTCTCCAGTTCCCTGCTCCTGCGACAGACCATAAAGCAGCATTTAGATGATAACTTTCTCAGTGCGTCTTATCTTTACAATGAAGGAAGAAAGAAAACAATAATAATAAAGGAGTCGCACAATGCTGCTGTTTTATGACTGTCTTCTACCATGACATGTCAGAGGAGAGTGACAGCAGTTTTGAAAAGGGCTGTCAGTCAGCTGGATCGCAGATGGGATGCTCTGGTGACCTCTGCGGGTCACAGTTCAGGCGGCTACATAATGGGATGAATAGTGGGAATTGTGCACACACGCTGTATTAATGGGGGAGCAGAACGAGCCACGGTCCCATTGACGAGAACGTATAAAAGCCATGTTTGTAATAGCAGGCACACACACACTTACTGAATGTTGACAACTTCATTTCAATCCGTTAATAAAAAAATGTGTGTCCTAGTTAAGCTGTGGCAGTGATTTGCTGCCTACAATAGGGATTTCTAGTATGCCATTTCTATCATTTTCACACTTTAATGCAGAACTGGGTGTGAATGATCTCCTGTGTGATCACTGAATTTTAAGATAGCTATGAGGGAGAGACTTTAGGGAAGGAAAAGCGTAGGAATAGTGTGGTTTTCTTGGGTGAAGTTGGCTGGTAGGAGAAATTTTTATAGCCTTATTGTTTGTGTCAGGAAATCTGCTCTTCTGCATTTACCTAATTAATTTTAAAAGAGTATATAACCTCAGCATTTAGCTATCTGATCAAGCCACCAGTGCCTCTCATCAGGTTACAACCATCTGCTGTTTGGAAATGCTTTATTGTAACTCTGACAGGGATGGTGTATTTTTTAATATTTCCTGGAGATACTTCTGTTTCTTAGAGTCCAGTACCTGATGTTAGAGCCTTCACATGCCAGCAAGGTGGTTGGCAAGTCCTTCTCTAAAAGTAGCCAGCAGCGTACTGTGTATAACCTTACAAACAGGCTGCCGGAACATACTGCATTCTTACTATTGTGTCTTGAATCATTTCATTAGGTTTCATCAGAACAAGAGAAGGATCAAGAATCAGCAGACCAGAAGAATTTCCCTGAACATCCTACAGTGGGAGAGGTGAAACAACCTATGCAAGGCCCTCCATCTCTTTTACCAGAGACTGCTCGGACACTGCCTCTGGAGAAGACAGACATGACAGAAAACAGCACCAACAGTGAGAAAGCCAAGGAGGAGGTTCAGCACTCGTCCTCTTTCTCGAGTGTTTCTGTGCCTGAGGAAGAAGACGCTGTGCTGGATGCCACTGTCACAAAACGATTACACCCCTCACCGGATGCCCTGGAAGACACAAAGCCTGAACAAAAACTACACAAAGCTTTTACTGACAGCCTGGAAAGTGAACATCCAGAAATGCCCTTCACTGCTTTCCCAGTCCATCTGCCCACTCAGAGTGACATGGAAGATGAGAAACTGCCAGGGATGGCCGATTACATCGCAAACTGCACGGTGAAAGTGGACCAGCTGGGAAATGAAGATATCCACAATGCACTAAAGCAAACACCCAAAGTCCTGGTGGTGCAGAACTTTGACATGTTTAAGGAAAAGGAGCTGCCCGGGTCCATGAACGATGACTCCACTTTCAGTTACACACCACTGCTGTACTCTAAAGGTAATCCAGGCATCATGTCACCCCTGGCAAAGAAGAAGCTGCTGTCACAGGTCAGCGGGGCCACGCTCTCGTGTAACTATCCTTATGGTTCTCCTCCACCTTTGATCAGCAAAAAGAAACTCAGCAGCAGAGATGAACTGTCCTCAGGCGTATCGCAAGGTCCCCATGCCCCTAATTCTGATCCTGTAGCAATTAATAGGCCCTCAGTCATACAACATGTACAGAGTTTTAAAACCAAGGAAGAAAGGAAGTCAATTAATAATGTTTTTAAACATGACATGCTAAGTAAACCGGATCCTCAGCGCTGTGATTTTTCAAAACATCACCTCAGTTCTCTTGCCGAGTCATACCTACCGAAGTTGGATATCCAGGACTGCAAAGATAAAATGAGTGAGAAAAGGGCACTGCAGCACTCCCATGTGCCCACTTTCTTGGCAGATTTCTATTCATCACCTCATCTGCACAGCCTTTATAGGCACACAGAACACCACCTTAATAATGAACAGACATCAAAGTACCTCCCCCAGGACATGTTCAGAGAGTCTGAAAATATTTCTACTTTTACTCAACACAAACACCAAGAAAAACTAAATTTAAATTATCGGCCGTCTTTGCATCAGCAAGAAAAAAAGACAACAGTGGAGGCCTCTTCAGATGATCAGCCAACAGATTTGAGTCTTCCAAAGAGCATACACAAACAGACTGCAAAGGTTCCAGGCTCCAGTCTCCCTCACTCATCCACAGCCCAGCAAGAATGCAAAGGGATCTCCCCATTCCAGGCTGGAGGCAGCCAGGCGGTGAGCCTAGACTGTAACCCCAAAGCTTGCCGTGTGTCCCCTATGGCATTGACAGCCCCAAAAAAACACAGCGAGTTGCTCCACAGGTCTGGGAAGCAGCAGGCCCAGAGGCTGGAGAACCTGAGGAAGATGGAGGGGATGGTGCATCCTATCATCAGCCGCAGAACGAGCCCTCAAAACGTGGGGGCTGCCCGGCCTCTGAAAAGGAGCCTGGAGGATTTGGACAAAGTTATTTCTGAAAAAAAAATCCGAGCTGTCTCTCCTATTCACTTACCAAAGGAGACCCCGGTGAAAGAGAAGGTTCCCGACCAAGAGGGGGAAGGTAGCAAGTCAGTGCATGGCCTCCATTCTGGCAGCATGCTGGAAAGCCACAAATTTCCCCTGTCAGCCCCCATCTTCCCAGGCTTGTATCCGGGAAGCCTGTGCACGGGGTTGAACAATCGCCTCCCACCCGGGTATTCTCATCCCCTGCAGTACTTGAAAAATCAGACCATGCTATCCCCACTAATGCAGCCTTTGGCTCTTCACTCCTTCATGGTGCAGAGACAATTCCTCACGTCCCCTGCAAACTCCCAGCAACTGTACAGACACTTAGCTGCAGCAGCACCTGTAGGAAGTTCCTACGGTGACCTTTTGCATAACAGCATTTATCCTTTAGCTGCTATAAACCCTCAAGCTGCATTCCCACCTTCCCAGCTATCCTCTGTACATCCGAGCACAAAACTGTAAACCTCCCTCGCTCACAAAGAAAGGTCTGAGGAGAAAGTTCAGTTAGCCACATTCCTCCCCCTGTGACGATGTCTTGCAGATTTAGCAATCTGTATTTTTGTCAACCAGGATGCAGTCGTATCCCGCCTAGAGGAGCATCTTGGAGTTGGATGGAGACAGGACTGCTTCTTTAATTCTGGCTCCCACATCAGCCCCTCATCCCTTATCCCCGCCCTTGAAAAAAAGAAAACCAAGCCAAAAAAAAAAAAAAAAAGCCAACAAAACAAAAAAAACAAGCCACACAAAAAAAAAGGAGAGAGAAACAAAAACACAGAAAAAAAAGAATTTTTTTTGGATTTTGCGTATGTGTTTTCTGAAAGGACTTGAACATGGTAAGAGCAGATGTTCAAAGGGAGCCGTGGAAACGCAGGCCCAGTCCTGAGCTCACTGAAGCCCCAGTGAGGGCTGTGTTTGCCTTCCACTGAGCCAAGGACCGGAGGCTGTGCATTGTTGCAAATGAGTCAAGGACTTCAGATGAACCTGGAAAGGAGAAGTGGGCCGAGAATCTGTACAATCAGTGGATGTGCTTTTTTGGGTAACTTTTCCTGACTTTTAAAGATTCAATCAATGCAATGTATAGTAAAACGGCAATAGATTTTTTCATTTTAACACTATTAGAACAGAATGGTAAACACTGTTTAATTTGACTGTACATATCCACTTCATAAACTACCAGTGTCACATTTGGTCACAATAATTTATATAGTTTCGTTTGTCCAGTATATTCTGTGCTCTTTGTGTTTGTTTTTCTGTTTTGGGTTCTTATTTTTTTTTAAATTAAACAGTATCATTTTATCTGCAACTTTTTTAAAGGCTGTGGCTGTCCTAATTTTTCTTTTTTTTATTACGTGTTTGTAATTTTTCCAGTTTCTTTATACTTTGGAGCAGCGTTTTTGTTTTGTTTTTGTCGTAACGTTTACTGTTTACAAACTGAAGCAACTGGTTCAGATTAATCTTAATGGTTATAAACATACTGTAGGTGATGTTATGGTGCAAGGATGCGAACAAGGTTCCTTTCCCCACGGCCCACCCCTGTGAGGTGCTGAGCACCTCTCACCCTCCTCCTGTTGTTTCGATGGCTCCTAGGCTGCTTCTCCCCTCCCTCCGAGCTTTGCTTTCCTGTATCGTGGTCTGTGAATTTGTCAAGCGTTGTACTTAATCTTACCTAGGCTGTGAAACCCTCCTGCCTACCAGAGAAACGGTCTAGAAAACAAAATCTCCCTGGCTCAAGCTGCTGAATGACAAAAGAGTGCAGAAAACAGATCTGTGGTTTGTGTGAATGTTGAGAATTTCAGAAGTTGTGAGAGCAGCCAGTGTGGATCTGAATCAGAGGTTTACAGGTTGTTTCTGTGCCTCGCAATGGTAAGGGGGTTCTGTGCAGTGGTTGGGATGGTCCTTGCACGCTCCCACGGGGATCTCGGCCTCTCCCTGCACATCCTTTTGCAGGGGGAAAGCCCAGGCATGGCAGGGAGAGGCTGGATTTTCCTGATGAAAGAGCTTCCTTGTGGATGTATACTCACTTTGCAGGACATCACCACTACGTAGCTGAGCACAGACATTGATAAAGCAAAGTGTCACTTGGAGGCTTTATACAGTGTGAAAATTGGTTGTGATTCAAACCATCTCAGTTACTGTTCAAGGACAGTGTACTTGATATGAAAAGATAAACTACTAAGAAACACTTTGCATGCTAGGCATGTCATTAAATTTTCCCGTGATATGAAGCCAAATACAATATATAATGTATCATACTTAATATCCAAAGGTGGAAACCAGAATAATATACTCGTCTACTGTTACAAATCCAGCTTCTTCAATTAAATACTTTATATTCCTGTGGTAAAACTATATTTAATTGATTGATAAACAGACTAGTAGAACTTGGAACATTGATGTGCCAGTGCAGGGTATCCTGCTGCTCCACAAGTCATACAGGAAACAGAACCGCAGGCTCATCCAGGCAGAGGTCGCAGTGTGGAGGACATCTCTAGTAAAGTTGCACTACATCTGAATCACGTAAGAGTCAGGGGTTTGGGGATGGGGGGGAGGAGGGCGGGGGAAAACGGGGTAGAGAATATAAAAACCTACAGCAAACGCGAACAGAAGCTTGTTGTGTGTTTGGCAAAGCAAATGCTTCTCCTTGTTTTGGTTAAGTTGTGTGTTCTGGAGTTGTGCATTTGTTTATGCAAAGTGTCCAACGTCCCTTTTGGTTATGTCCTGTTGGAGTTTGCTGGTAGGCTTTTTGGAGCCATGCTGAGGCAGCACAGGGCTGGGGGACAGGGAGTGGGAAGGAAGGCTCGTCGCTTGTCCCTTGAGGAGACTGGCCACTGCTGGCTGGGGAAGCTCATACTGGGCAAAACGTCAGGACTAAGGAAAAGAAATGGTGGCATAAACCCCCAGCAGAAGCGGTGCATTATTTGTTTAAGAACTCTTTTAACAGAAATCTTGGAAATCTTTCAACAGACTATTGAATTCTTCATTGGCTGAAAAGTCTTTTTTTCCCCTCAATGTCTTAAATGGGGCTTTGTTTGCATTGTTTGAGTTCAAGGGGCCTTATTATTGAATGAAATTGCACAAGCCTTTCTTTGTGCAATCAGACCATTGTTATTGGTAGGTTTGTAAAGGAAACTGCAGAATCTAATTGGCAATAGAGTCATAAATCTATTTACTAGGAGCCAGTTCCAAGAAATGTTGCAATTCAAACGCCCTATGTCCAGGATGCATTAGGGATGCTAAAGGTTGTGAGATCCAAAGGAAGAGGCCCAGCAGCAAACGGCTCGTGTGTAGCTTCTGGCCACACTCTGAGCCAGGCTTCGTGAAGCATATGGGAAGTTAGGGCCTGATTCCCAGTGTGATTGTGCCCCTGGCCAGGCGGGGTGGGAGCAGGGCAGCAGTTTGTGGCAGGTCTTTTGTGGCTGTGAGCTGGCCTGGTGTGAAGAGCTTGCCCAGTGGGTTCAAGCCTGGGAAGTAGCTTGTCCTAGCAGCAGAGGAGCTGGCTTGGCAGCAGCTGGAGCTCAAGCAGGGCACAAGTGCTGTGCTGCCTCTGCCGTCAGCACTGCCCCATTTGGGGAGACGTGGGGCTGCCACCTCCAGAGACCAGCATGGGGTCCCTCGCGCCCGCCGCCTGCTCGCTTCCTTTGTGGTGGTCAGTGAGGGCACAGCTGGGCCAGTTTTGCCATCGTGCTGACTTTGATGAGCAGTGGGACTTCCTGCACTGGTGTGAGGCGGGTGGCATTGGCAGTGCTGCCATGGGTGCTGTTTGCTGTACATGTGGTTGATATTTCGCTCGTTCTCTTCCTCTTCCTCCCCTCTCCCCCCAGTCCCGCAGTTTTAAATATGTTCTAATAATGGCAGCATAATCTACTAGCTGTTTATACTTTTTTAACTTTCTTTTGTTGTAAATATTGTATACTTTTTGTGATTCAAGTTATGTAGCCTATATGCTCTGTAAGGTGATGATTTGTATATATAAAAATGGCCCAGTAATATTATATAGTTTCCCATTTAAAAGGTTATTGAGTAACCTTTGCATTAGTTTAAACACTACCAGAAATAAAGCTGAGCCAACTATAAACACTCAATTTTTGTATGTTTTCCAAATTGTACTTATTAATGCTTTTGATACTGTATTATGTGCCAATAGTTTCCCAATCACATAGCAGGCAAAAGATATTTTGTACTTTTTGATCCACTGTAATATTTAATAAAAAATGTTACTATCTGTTCCCTTTTGTGTTTGATTAATAATTCTGTAAACAGCCCTTATCACATTGGATTACATATTATCCCATCCGATCTTTCAGCCCTCTTATATTGGCTTTTCTAGAGAAAGTATCTCCTCCTGCAAATGATTAGATTAAAGAAATGGAAGCTTGCAATTTCCTCAAGGAGGGAGAGACAAGATCTTCAGTCAGTGCTCCACTATTTTTGCAGTGTACTTGCTTTAACGTGTGGCTATGATCATGCTGACTATAGGAATAGCTTTTGAGAGGATAACTTCCATGCTTAGCCAGTGGCTCCAGCAGCAATTTTGCTCCATTTGCATCTCAGAGAAGAATGTTTTTCTACCAGTACTGCAGGCTTGAGCTGGGATCTGAAAATTGCCCCATCTTCTTCCCAGCTCAAACATGGGTAAGGTTCTGGAGTCTTGGGAGTCAGATGTTAATTACTAATTTTGCTGATGATGCTGAACAACCCTCAAGCAAAGGTAATTTTTACTGTGTTCCTTGGTGAGTCTGAAAAGCCCCCCATAAAACCTAGGGCCCCTTTGAGAGCCCATAAGCACAGCCAGTGCTGTTACACTCCTGGTCTCCTTAGGTGGGAAGATCCTTGGGCTGTGTGTAGGTCAGGCCTGGGTACTGCCCTTGTCCAGCACAGCTCATTAGCAGGACAGGAATGCCCAGTAGCCACCTGCTAATTCCACATGGTTGCTTAGCTCCATGGTTCTGGAGCCATGGAGCAGGGAGGTTTCCCTCTCCCATCCCTGGGCAGTCCAGGAGCTGAGGCCATGGCTGACCCTGGAGGCTGGAACTGCTTCATGCATTCTCCCTGTGCAGAGTGTGTGGCCAGGTGAGCACAGACCAGTTTCACCAGCTTCCAAATACATGCTGCAGTCTCAAAAACAACCATTTCCTCCTCTGTGTGCTGGGAAATAACCAGCTTGAGGAGAGCCAGCCACTGGGCATGTGTAAAGGATGCAGCACTGCTGAATCATAGAATCATAGAATATGCTGATTTGGAAGGGACCCATCAGGATCTTCTCCGGATCTTCGAGTCCAGCTCCTAGCCCTGTGCAAGGCACCCCAGGAGTCACACCCTGTGCCTGTCAGTGTTGTCCAAACACTTCTGAGCTCAGGCTTGGCACTCGTATCAGTGCTGTATATGAAGCCATCGGAGAAGATGGGGCCTTCTAGCAAACCTTTTCCCCTATCTACTGCCTTTGCCAAGCTGAGGCATTTTCTTCTTTTTATGTTAAAAATGCAGCCAAGTGGTGAAAGAGGTGGAAGAAATGTGGACATGTGGAAGCTGGCCCTTGCAGGAGATGCAGACATGGCTGAGGCAACTTGGTTTCCAGCACCATGCTTGCTTCCTTACTGTTTTTTAGCCCTTCCTAGTTTGTGGATTAATGTAAGCTAGCGCTGCCTGTTTTTCTAGTGCTGGGGGGTGCCTGTTGGGCTGCCTTACCCACTCCTCAGGGTGTGGCTGGGAAGACCCCAGGAACAGCACCCTGGAGCTTTTCGTAGCCAGACCAGCCTGGCCTGTGAGTGGCACTGAGACACAGCATCCTCCCTTGGCTGGGCTGGGCATTTCCCAGTGAGTTTGCTGGGGGTCACTTGGGGGTCAGAGCACCCACACCTGGGCAAGCAGCAGAGCAAAGTAGTCTGTGTTGACAGCACCCAAAGCATTTGCAGGGAAACAAGGGCACCTCTGCAGGACACAGTGCACCCCACCAGTGGCTGGTAGGGTCTGCAGGAGCAGAGCTCCACCTAGGAAGAATTTGTCCCCCTATTAGGGAGTCCAAAGTGCTTCTGTGTTTGAGAGTGAAATGTCCAGTGATTGAGAGAGGATAAGGGACGCTGTACCCCTGGTTTGCTGCAAACAAAGAGTTTGTCACCTTATCACACCAGTTTTTCAATTCAGCTGCCAGCAGCAGGGAATTAACAGTTTAGAGGGTCTGAAGAAAAGTGGAGATGCACAGTCTGGTGTTGCTGGCTGCAGTTTACTTCCCCTGGCTGATGGCTCTTGATCCTCTGCTTTGCTGCCTTGCTTTTCTGCAATTACATGGCAGTACCCTGTGCTGGGCTCCTGTCCGAAAAAAGAATGTCATTGAACCTGGTTTCCTGATTCCTGGGCCATGGCACACGCTCCTTGAGGACCTCACAGAACTTTCCCAAGCCTTGCACCCCAGCAGGTAAGAAACAGAAGGCACAAAGAGCTGAAAGCTGGTGGAGGTCCTGGGGTAGGATTCCCCTGCCCTGGATGGATCACAGGGAAATTGGCTCAGCAGCACCTGCATTGCCTGGCAGCTTTTTGGGGCTGGTGATAATCACATGGTGATGCCAACCTTTCGGGAATGGGGCCCTTCCTCTGTCTCTGCCTCACTAGCAGTGTCTCTGCTCCAGAGTATTTCAGGAACATTTTCTGCAAAGTTTCCACTACTGGGAGGAGCTGATCACACGCAGACATCACTGCTAATCCTCACTGGCACCCTAACTGCTCTTGGAAATTCAGCGCTCACCCACAGGCTTTCCAGGAATATCATACACCTTTTGCTCTTCCCAAAGCAAAAACAATAGAGCCTGTATGTTTGCCTTCCCAAATTTGGGCATACTCACAACTGAAGTGCTATGGGTGTGTATCGCCTCTGCCACTGAAGAGAAACATGGGAGGATTGGATGGTCTTGAGGAAAGGACAAGGAGTGGCCCCCAAAGTATCCCCAGTCTGCCTGGAGCTGTGGCTGCTGAGGGTTTGCATTCCTGCCGGAGAAAGCCGTGGCTGTGGCCAGGCAGCATCCCCTGCTGCCCCCTGTGCAGGGAATGCGCGTCCAGCCAGCAGGCAGGGATACAGCTTAATCTGTGCTTTCATTTAGCCTTTCAGTTTGTCCTGTACGGGATTAAAAAAAGAGTATTCGCGATGTCAGATGCTCCATCTAGTGCTCACCTTTGGAACGAGCCCCCCGGGTCACAGGCCAGAGGTGCCCTGTCCTGGTGGTTGGGGCAGCAGGGACAGGACCCTCCACGAGAGCCAGCAGACTGGGGACAAATATGTCCAAAAGTGGGTTAAACAAATTCATGAAGATTTTCGTGGCTGCTGAAAGGGCAGTGATTTGGGTAAAACGGGAGACCCACAAATTGTGAATGGTGGCAGCTGTGAAGACCTCCCGTGCTCACAAGGGTGAGGGGTGCCTGCGGGGCCAGCAGTGTGCCCTGTCCTTGGGTGTGCACATGGGCACAAAAGTCCTGGTAGCTCCCTCCTCTTCCTCCTCCTCCTCCTGGTGCTGCTCCTGGGGACAGAGCGGCTCAACAACTGCTTGGTTTTGGTGATGA